TTGTTTTGTTTTGTTTTGTTTTGAGTATCCAGTATTGCTTTACTCCTTGTTTTCTAGTTTAAAGGGTTTCATTCTTATTTTGTTGTGTTTTTCTGGTTATTTTCAGTTTTCTTGGTTTCTGTTTGTTGCCCTCTGCTGCCCTCTTATGTTCTCCTTTTTCCCTAGCTCTTTTCTTCTCTTGCTCTGTGCACACCTGCTCCCAGCCCTCTCTTTGTTTCTGTCTCCTATAAATACTCTTGCTGTTCAGTTCCTCTTTGCTGGGTCCACGTCTAATCTCATCAATCTTCCTCCAACTTGTCTTTCTGAGCCTTCCTCCTGATTACAGTAATTCCCCTGATGTCTCAGTTGTTTCTGGTTCGTTTTAACTTATTTTCATGTTTTGGTTTTTTGAGTTTTTTGGACTACTTGTTTCTTGTTTGTTTTGGACTTTATTTACATTTAGATTTTTTGGATAACCTGCCTCTGTTTACAGTAACTCATTATTAAATCAACTATAAATTCACCTCTGCCTTCCTGCCTCTGCTTTTGGGTCTACTGTCCACAAACAAATCCTGACAGTTGCTCTCACTTAGTTCAATATAAAGTATTATCTATTCCATTCCACACGCAGATACCACAACTGGTCTGCACCCCTAAGCAAAGATAACCTCCGGTTTGCACATCCTGTCCAATAGCCTCTGAAATGGCTTATTATCTGCATTTCATTACATTCCTCAGGTTCAAGCCAAAAAAGAAACAAAAGAATGCAAGACGCTGGTAAATCTTGTTTCAGCTTTTAAGAGTTGGTGCCAACTTAAGGGAGGAAATGAGCACAGAAACCATCACATAAGTTAGATGCTAATGATAACCTTTAGGTAACTGTGGTTGGCATTAGCATTAGTAGTATTGCCACTTATTGGCCTGGAGTAGTCAAACATGTAGCTATCATCTTAGAAAATTAAAGAATTAAAAAACTTTGCAAAACATTTGTTTTTGCAGCACGTGTGTGTTCTGCAAAACTCACAGAAATTTATGGGGGGAAAAAAACATATTTGTGGGTATCTGATGCTAAAATAAGCCATTATAAGATCTTCCAAGTATAATCCAATGATTTTGGAAAGCCTTTTCTAGAGTGGAAGGAAAAGAGATGAAAAACAAAATTGAAGAAAGCCTGTGGAAAAGAAAGGATGCAGAAGACTTAGGTAAAGCATGTGGAAAAGAGTGCTGGAGCACAGAAGTGAAAAAGACAAACAGGTAAGGCAAAAAAAGACACATTTAAAAGTAACAACATAGTTCAAGGAGCTTATCGCTTGTGTGATAATCATCAGCCAATTTAAAAGGGTAGCAGATAGAAGGTCAAGAAGGCAGCTAGTGATAATTGTGCCTCCCAGTCTGGCCTAACTCAACCATTTCAAGAAAATGGGTATCATTTCCATCTATGTGTGTAGCTGTGTGTATGTGGAAGGGGTAATGCATCAGTAAAAGTCTGTCTTCATGAGGACTTGTTTAAATTTAGGCTTTGAAACCCGAGTATTGAAACTGGAGCATTGAAACTGGCAAAAAGTGTTTTTAAGCTTTAAGAAAAAGATATAAAATTAAACTTTAACTGAATCTGGCAGTTCAGTACGCAACAGACAGCGCAACCCATTTAGAGCAGTAAACATACCAGAATTATATTTTAAAAAAAATTCTTAACATTTTGGATTTAAGATGAAAATTATTTTCGTCTGTCAATATGCTTGTTAGGTATGGAGAACCAACTCTGCCATATTTAAAAATAAA